GCGAGTAAACATTTTTATTTGAAAGCAAACAGAAATCATATTTCTCGTGTTGATCAAAAATATTATTCTTCCAAAATTATGTTATTTAACATAAAAATTAGGAAATTAGAATTAAGTCTTTTTTCGAAAATATCTTTCCCCTTCCCTGGTCTGCCATTATCGAACTCCGGAAGACAGTCCTAGCCTCGCCTCCAACCCGTTCAACACTCTAACGCCCACAGTCGGATCCCCCGCCGCTGCACTGCCCGCACGCCCTCTCGCTGCCGGTCACTGTCCGGTAATGATATACCCAACAGCTCAATTCGAGTTTTTTCAATAAATATTTGAATTTAGGGTTCTTTTTTTTCATGTTTGTGATCCTGGTTTTTAATTAAATATTTTAGTATATAAAGTTTCCATCATCTCCGATGGAGCCAAAATTTCACCATTTTTTGGCTTTGGGGTGTGATGGAATAAATCAAAATGGATCTGTAAACTGTCTGCGCTTCTTTAATTAATGAAGTAGCAGTTAGTCAAGCAATGCAACTTTCGACGTTGAGCCGGGGGTCTCTTTGGAAACAGCCTCTCTACTTTCGAGTAGGGGTAAGGTCTGCGTACACACACCCTCCCCAGACCCTACTCTTGTGGGATTTAACTGGGTTGTTGTTGTTGTTGTAGTATATAAAGTTTTATTTTGTTTTTTATCTTTTAAACAAAAAATGGGACATATTTCCATATTTTTATTGCGATGAATAAACATGTATTTTTATAGTTATGTTGTACCACTCAACAATTTGTAAGCTTGTAGTGAATTTTGGTTTTAACTACACAAAGGTACAAGATTGGGTTGAGGTCTAGACCATTCCGGAGGACAAGTACTATGAAGCTAGGACAATGCATGCAATATGATTGCTTCTTACAAAATGATTTCTCCCATTAATTATATTGTTCCAAATAAATGTGAAAGTGTTATTTCTTCTTCTGATATTTTCAAGAGTGATTGAGTCTTCAATGTTTTGAAATGAAAAGGTTTTTATAAAAAGCATTATATGTAAAGTTTTAAGTTTGAGTGAAAATAAGTTGCCAATCTGTGTAATATTTGTTATCTGGGTTGGGGTGTTACATGTCCACTCATTTAATTGTATAATGTAGTGTACAAAACATACAACTTTCCCCTCCTCAAAACCTATGTTACCTGCTATTCACTCTTGATTTTTTCATAAGATTTACTGATTTACTTGAAGCATCACAACAGCCCAACCAGGGACTTGAACGACATAAAGTAAGACTATGAACACTTCGATATTTACTCATCTGTTGGTTGTTTGGATCTTGCAGTTCAAATCATTTGGAAGCATATCAGAAAGTGAGAAACATGAAGATCTAATGTTTCATGATTTGTCAGATGGAGAACATATATGACTTAGTTGCCAGCATCCCAGTGATGGAAGCGAATGAAACAGGAACGAATGGTGATATTGAACAGTACAAGTGCAGTGTTGATGATATGTCTGTAAGAATTGATCAAGTAAGGTTTTGTATATACTATTTTTTCTATCATTGTTCTTGAATTAAGTCTTGAGCCGAAGAAAAAGGCTACTATGTATATCATGAAATTTCAGTGCTTAAGATTCTTTGTCATTCTACTTTGTACATAGTTCCGAGGCCTTATTCTCTACATTAGATCTTCATTGTTCTCTGTCATTTCACATTTTTTCTTGAAGCCTTATTGTCTATTTTGTTCTGAGTTTCTAGTTCTTATAGTAGTATAATACCTTTGCAGCTTGAGCAGAGGTTTGCTGAAGTTGAACAATTCTACTCAAATGTGAATAAAAAGATGTCAAACACTCCAAAAGGTAGCTCAGTCCTGAAGGATATAGAAAAAGAGAAGCAGATTGCTAATTTTAAGAAGCGACAGCAAGATGCATCCCATCGAGAGGCTGCTGCTGCCAAGAGAATGCAAGAACTAATTCGCCAATTTGGGACAATATTACGCCAAGTAATTTCTGTTCTTTGCAAGGGTCTTTGCTGATTCTTCTGTTCAATATTTTAACTTTGAATTTATTCACCACTTTGTGTAGATATCATGTTAGAAAACTGGAGTAGAAAATCTAACTAAGGTGTTCAAAATGTTTAGAGTTTATAGGATTTGTATTGGAAATGCAGATGTGAGATGAAATATGAGTAAAGGTGCACAATAAGTGTATTGAGTGGTTATTTTTCAAGCTTACAAACTGAAAAAATGACATGATTTCATTTTCGATAAGTACTGATGGGGTAGGGTGTTACCTAGTTTTACTATTCTTTTTTTGCTTCTCCTCTTGTCGTCCTGAATCTGTGTTGTGTCAAATTTGACTACATGAAAGGAAAAAGAATAACAAATTCTTATCCGTTTATTTGTCAGATCACTCAGCACAAATGGGCGGGGCCTTTTATGCAGCCTGTTGACGTTGTTGGTCTTGGTTTGCACGACTACCATGAGGTAATGACTGAAAACCAGTTGCATATCCAAAGTTTTGCTTTGTTTTATAAGAAGAAAAGATTATAGCGAACTTTTTAGCTTATAGGAATTTGTTTTCAACTTTTCACTGATTTGCTGGCCATGCAATTTGTTAGGTTATTGAGAAGCCAATGGATTTTAGCACAATTAAAAACAAAATGGAGGCCAAGGATGGTTCTGGATACAAACATGTCAGAGAGATATGTGCAGATGTTCGGCTGATATTTAAGAATGCAATGAAATACAATGAGGAAAGGGATGATGTTCACGTGATGGCAAAAACCTTAATGGGAAAGTTCGAGGAGAAATGGCTGCAACTTTTGCCCAAAGTTGATGAAGAGGTAACTAATGTGATTCATTCATGAGTGCAGTTACCGAATTATGTTGGTACTTCCACCTTTGTTATATCTGACTTGCATTGGATAAACAATTATATTCAAATAATTAACTTCTAAACAACACTACAGAGTATCTTATCCACATTGCATATGATGTCGTTTACTTAATTATTCTGTTTCCTCCAACCAGTTTCCAATATATTTGCACCAATCCTGCAATCTTTGTATCTCATATCTTGGGTCCGTGATCTATTCACCTAACTTGGGAATCAAGCATCATATCTAAACCGATTACCAGTAGAAAAATTAACCTACGAGACCTTATAGCCTGTTTTTTTGGCATTTCAGTTCATATTTTTATCCTTATAATTACATTTTGTAGGAAGAAAGGAGAAAGAGAGAGGAAGAAGAGGCTCAATTAGACATGAAACTTGCGCAAGAGGCTGCTCATGCTAAGATGGCCAAGGATTTAAGTATTGAGGTACATATTTCTTGTTCTAGCTCACCTACAAAAATAAACGGGTACTTCAAATTCTCTCTGATACTTCAGTATGGAGTGTATGGACCTTATTCTTTGACATGGTCCAAGACAACTTATGGAACCGTTCTTTTCTAGCTTGATGATATGGACATGCATCTGGAAGAGCTTAGAGAGGCAGTGCTTCAGAAGTGCAGGTTTGGTTAACTTTTTTGCATGTCTTTTATTTTTTTTACATTTAACATACAGACATCTAATACTTATGCTCACTATCATGATACTATGATAGTTGATGTTTCCCTATCCCCATATCCATTTAAGTATCCATCCCCTTATATTTGGAACTTAGCCGGGTTCCTGTCATATTTTTAGAAGAGATTATTTCCATTGTGTTCTTCCCACTTTTTTTTCAAATACTATTTTCCTCTACTTCACGTATAGTTGGTGCACTTGGTGGCAATTTTGATCATACGTTGGTAGGGGTCATAGGGATATGCATTTGAATCAAATTGGATTGGTTGCTTTTGCTCAAATAATTGACATTATTGATTCTAAACAAAGTGGTGCTTCACAACCATAGCTTGAAATGTCTTTTTCATTTGATTGATGATTAGATATCTTATTCATGTCTTGAATACCACTGCCCTCCTAAGTAATTCTTCCCCGTCCCCTTTTTTTCTTTTTTGGCCTTTTCTAACTAATCTTCTTGTTCCCTTCTATAGAAATAATAACTGGTCATATTGATTTTCTCATATACAAAGAAATCCCAAGCTCACAATTTAGGCTTCTTGTAAAAAAATGTAAACATTAAATAGGGACGTAGGATTTTTTTTACGGAGTATTATTATTATTTTGTGTTTTGCAACTGTGCAAGCATTGTTTACTAACACTGAGGCTTTCTTTTTTTTCATCAGAAAAATTACTGTTGAAGAGAAGAAAAGACTCAGTGATGCTCTCACCAAGCTTTCCTCTGAAGATCTCAACAAAGCTTTATTAATTGTTGCACAAAATGATCCCAGCTTCTGCATTGCAGATGAGGAAGTAGAACTTGACATTAGTACTCAGGTTAGTTGCAGCAATAAAATGCTGTCCATGCTTGGTGTTTCTCTACACTACTCTTTACACCTAGTTTGCCATTTGATTATATGTTTGTGCTCTGTGCCTTCTGTGTTACTCAAGCCGGCCGTCTCTTGGAAACAACCTCTCTACTTTCGAGTAGGGGTAAGGTCTACATACACACCCTCCCCAAATCTTACTTTTGTGGGACTCTACTGGGTTGTTGTTAGTTGAAGCAATACTTATTTTTGGGTGGGTGGTGGGGTGGGGAGTGGGTATACATACAATACAAGTACATTACACGTTTTCAAGAGAGTGATACATTAGGTACTTGACTATGCAGAGCGAGTCGACTCTATGGAAACTGAAGTTCTTTGTGCAAGATGTGTTTGAGGCTCAAGGAAAGGCTGGTGCTACTGAGGGAACCAACAACAACAAAAGCAACAACAATAACCAAGCAAGCAACAAGCGAAAAAGAGAGACTAATGACGCCCTGGTAAAGGCATCACAGAAAAAGTGCAAGAAGCCTTAAGAGAGTTCATTCTTAAGACACACAGTCCCAATGTGGTCGCGTTGAAGGAAAGAAAGGGCATTCTGCAAGTCCTAGCAAGTTTTGATGGTAATAACATCTTTGGAGAGGGTGGTATTTCCATTGGATTCTAGTGATCCATCCGTGTAAATAATGTCCCCATCGTTCGGATTTGTAGTTACCGCCGTTTATTTGTTTCCCCGAGTAAGAGCTCTCTTTAGTTTAACTTTCATCCTCTCATTTTTTGGGTCCTCTTTAGATAATCTTTATCCTTTCTTTTATAGAAAGAATTGTTGGTCTATGTTTATCCATTCATTTCCAAATAAATTGCAAAGTTAGACAACTTCATAAGTTAATTATCTATTTGAAGTGAAGGGTAAATGTAAAAGAGGGATAATAAATCATGAATTTGTTTAGAATTCTTGTCTTGTGATTTTTTCTGGTCTTTTTTAATAGGGAACACAATACTTTGATTTAGAAAAAATTATTTGAAATAATCTCAAAGCGTTAACCCAAAAAAATGTACAGTTATACTCCATTTTAAAACATGGATCTATTGCGTTTGGTTCATGGAACATGAAAGGGATTGAAATTGGAGATTACCCGTCCATTCTCTTAAATTGGCAGATATGAGAATTAAGATTACCCGTCCATTTTTTCTATTATATATATATATATATATATATATATATATATATATATATATATATATATATATATATATAATAGTACTTCATCTCTTCCCAAGATTGGCACTTGACAATTTTTACTAGGGAGTACAAATGGGAACAGAGAAGCAATTAATCTGCACATAGTATTTTGTTTTTTTGGCAGTGAGAGAACTCATCAAATTGGCATTACTATTCCAGAGCCAGGTAGCCCGATGAACTGTTTGGCCCGTCCAGATGGGCGGGTAAGGACACAACTCTTAGCCCGCGTGTTTCAGGACGGGCCAGGCCTGTCCAGATAAATGGGCACGAATTTGATTTGAAGCCCGTCCCGGATCCGTGTTTGTGTAGCCTACTGGCAACCCATTCATGGCTTGATCATATCAGCAAACAATATCACTGTGCCATTCATACCAGTAAACTTTCAATCTCAAATAATTCTTACACATCTGTTTCCATCCCATATTGGAACTTACTAATTACACCAAACAGCTAAATCCTACACATATCTATATGCAAAAAAAAAAAAAAACAAAAAAACAAAACAGAGAGAACTCCATGTTTCTGAGATGTCTGTCCAGTACAATAATAAATAAATAAATAAATACCTGTTGGTTCCAGTTATGAAACACCAGTGCTGGTCACAAAAGGAACCAAACGTCTGTAATCTCGCCTCCTCCCGAGGGGACAACTGTCAAGAACCCTCCCGAGCATCAGCCTCGTGTTCTTCAGTGCGACATCTCTGGGTGTTAGCCCGGAGTCCGTCGCGTTAGTGGGCCCCGCCATCGGAAACTGTAACGGGCCGCTGCGGGCTTTGAAGGAAGTCTGAGAAGCAAGGGTCTTGCTGTCAGTGCTCTCGAACGAGCCTCCCGGTTCGTTCATGTGGGACCCGCCGGGCATGGAGGAGGTGCTGCAGCTCTGCAAGAGGGCTTCCAACACGCTGAGTGCCTCCCAGCACAGAGTGCTCTCCACCAGCTGAGACACAACGGCGTACATGTGGGGACTCTGAGCGGCGTCCATTGGAGTGTGCTGGAGCAGAGCCTTCAGCATGAGGAGGATGACCCGCTGGTATTCTAGCGGGCCCCGCTCGAGAAGCCTCAAAAGGTGGCCGAACGCCAGGGCGGAATGCGCCGGAAACCACTCGTTGCACAGCAAGGGCGAAACACAAGCCAGAAGGGTCAGTACGCTCCTGATCTCCCCGTGCGAGTACGCGACGAAAACGGTCGCCAGCTCGTCCAGCGATTTCGCCCGACACCATATCGCGATGTTGGTCGCGACGGCGCATGCCTTTTGGGCGGGCCCACCACTGCCACCAGCCGTGTCGTGGCCGCTGAGGTGTAAGCAGAGCCAGGGGAGCAATCCAATCACGTGCATCAGGAGCCGTGTTTCCGGGTCGCCAAAGATCGAATCGCATGAGGGAACAGTGATGAGAGAGAGGACCTCGATCGACACGCCGTGACTGATGGTCGACATGAGCCCTTTAAGGACCAAAGGTTGCACCCCTTCAAACGCCGGGAGGATCTTTTTGTTGCTCCGTGAGGGCGAGAGCATAGAGGCATTCCTCAATTCAAGACGTTGAAGAAAGTCAGAACCATCCCCAGACTCAAGCTCATCTCTTGGCATGCTAGAAAGAAGCACATTTTCAGTGGTTCTGTCCCGGAACGATAGACGGTCGACAATCCGGGAGAAGAGCTCAAGCACCTGACAGTAAACATGGACAAACTCTGTCTGCATCATAGCAACACACCCCCAGAAAAGCTGGGGGTACAGTATAACCTTTTCTGTCTCCATATTCTCTACCATCACCTGTAAGGTCAACAAGATCTCCATGACAAAACCTAAAACGGCAGGGACCGGATTCCCCAAACACCTGTGGAGACAACGAAGGAGAGAAACACACGCATCGTTCGTCACGCAAGGCCGGAGAGCACGGTAGATCTGGTGGGACCGGCAAGCGAGGTGTCTCGATGTGCACTCCATGGCCCACCTCAGTGCCTCTGCTCCCCATGTTTCTCTCAGATCCCCTTGGAAGAAGATGGCATCTACCATGCTCTGTACAAGGGCAGACAAGAGTGCTGCACTCGGTAATTCTGTTCTTACGACTGTGGGGTCCTCGTTTTCCCACATCATGCTTCCCTGTTTTGACTGGACATATTTGATGAGGCTCACGACTTGTTGTTTGTTCTCCCCGTCACTGCTTTCAACATCATACAGCTCCAAGTGCCTACCTGCAGGAGCGTACGAAAGGCTTCAAAATTTCCAAAATTGTAGTAGGGAAAAAATTTTCAAGAAAAAAAAAACTACAGCCTTATTTATATATGTTTATATTACCAATCACACAGTCAAGAGAATATATTGAGGTCATAAGTTAATCAAACTTTACCTAAAATGAATCATAAAAAGCTACCCTCCTATTCATACTCTTGAGAAAAAACAGGTAAATTGGGAAAACTATTTGATGTGCGCGTATTTCATAAATGAACAGATAAAAAAGAACAAGAAGATTTGGTCAACATGGGGGGTCATGGACAGATAAATAGAAACACAAGGAGTACATGGGGGGTCATGGACCATGCAACACTTACACCAAAAATTGTACCCCAAAGTTACACCAAAGGTATACACTAACATTTTTATTTTTCACATTGACACAAAGTGCCGGTGCGTTAATAAAAATTTGCACTGACATTTTGTGTCTGTGTGAACTATCACCCTAGCATTACACTGACACAAAATAAAGGTGCAAACCTGTGGGGTACAATTCTTGGGGTACACATAGATTAATCCAATATAAAATACAACATTTCAGAACCTGGGGTGGTATCTGCCTCTGCCTACCTGCAAGGGAATAGAGAAGATTGACAAGTAAGTGTTGGCAATGCTCCAAAACAATATCCTCCGAACTGTCCATTGAGACAAAAGTGACATGGAAGAGCAAAGGCAAATGTTCTCTGAAATCCTCATCATTCTCATAGGCTATTTCAGCAAGTAAGATCAATGCGATGTCTGCATGAGTGAGTGAGTGCTGTTGATGTCCTTGCAAAGCGGACTGTAGTTCTTTTGCATTCACGCCCGCCACGGAAAGCAAACCATCTTCACCCGAGTTTGGCGTATCTATAAGATAATCTCCGCTATCTCGAGAGACGTGACGGCTCCGAAGACTGCCAGTTGAACTCCGGACCCCTATCAATGGGCCCGACATATTTACCAGCGCCGGAAGAAGCTGACCGGACCGACCAGCACTTACAGGAGCAATATTCATTTCGGGCGGCATAGGGCTCAATGGCCCCGACGCACTCCTTCCTCCAACTGCTGCTGTTCTCCAGCTCAAGCTTCCACTTGTGTTTCTAAGTGGGCCGTCAAAAGATCCGCGAACTAGTAAAGGAGACATGTGAGGCTGGTTTTCCACAATATTTGCAACTTGGGAAACAGATGGGCCCTGAGAGAATTCCAAGACGAAGTTTCCATTTCCATCTTCCTTATTTGCACTGGGCCTCAGAGGTTCAACACTATCCTCAAGCATCCTCTGGGCCAATTGGTACACCAAATGATCGATGGTACGCTGAGGGCAAATACGGGCTAAATATAAACTGACCCGCTTTGCAACAGAAAAATATGTAGCAAACGCACCACTTATCTCTGCTGAAGCATTTGAATCACAATCTTCAATTCCCTTTGTGATCAAGAAATCTAATACAGGGCTAATGTTCTTAGGTTTGCTAGCAATTGTGCTCCATAGCTTTTCGATCTCATCTGGAAACTGATCGCCACGTCGCCATGTCACATAATACAAACTTTTCAGCAATCTCTCACTCCACCCAGAGTCCTTCAGTTTCCAGAAATTAAGATTCTCAATCCATGGGGCCATGCAGGTTAAGACCTGATGCTGTGCAATCACATCCACAGCATCAAGCTGCCTCTGCATAATCTCTTCACAAAGCAGCTGGCTCATTTCAGGATGATCCTTAGCAAGTTTGCAAGAGAGCTTATACTGGAACTGTTGGTATGAATCGGGGAGGTTCCCGACAACAGCAGCTCTATAATTACCAGAGCCCTCAATACCATCCTCAGCCCACTCACGCACAGAAAGTGTTTCAAGCATTTGGAGGGCATCATCACGAATTTGTCTGGAAGGATCCACCACCTTGTAGAGTATAAGACTTAGAAGTCTCTGTATTTCACATTTTGGGATCTCTTGGCGCATATAAACTTCAGCCAGTACACTGAAGTAGCCATCAGCAATTGCAGCATCAGAGTGGTAGCACTAAAAGATCAATAGAAATCAAATTACTCTTTATTCATTACTACTTCTGTCCCCAAAAAAGTCATGTTTGAGTGTTTGACTCTTGTGCTACTTTTTTTTTTTGTATTTGGAAAGGTATATACTTGTCAAAATCATGAAACATGCTTATGATTTTTAAATTTATTTTTTGGTTGAAATAAATTTATCTATCTAACTTGTTTGACTCTTTTTTGGCAGTATAAAAAACAAAAAATTAGCTTCATTTTATCAAACTGAACTCTCTTTTTTGGGACACATTTTCTTATTTGACGCATGATTCTTTTCTCTGAAACAGAAAGGGTAATGCTTGATAGTAATTAGTAAGTGGTGAAACTTCAAAGGCAATGAAGTTGACAAAAGAGTTACCTGATCAATGCAAGCAGGGAACAGATCCAAATTTGTAATGAGAAGATTTTTTAATGCTTGCTTTGCAAGTGATACGCGAAGGTGTCCTCCTCTGTGCCTGTCACGCCCATTGGCTCCACGACCATCTCCAGTGTATTTCAAATGAGATGGAGTTCTAGGATCTGCTGGCGAATAGCCAAAAGGCACCCTTGGCGCTGGTTCAATAAACAGGCTATTTATCCAAGATATTACACGGCCGCTCATCTTTCTTGCATTATCATCAAAGCAAGGACCATACAGCAATGAAGCCATTGCATTCATGGATTGCCACTGGAGTGCTTCAACCTGCTCACCCAACTCTTTATCGAATGAAAGCTTGTCTATAGAATCTTTTGATCTAGAATGCTGGGAAGACTTGTATCGCTCTACTTCACGGCGATAATCGCTAACACCATCTTGAGTCCATGAACTGCTAGTGTCATCACTCCAGGAGAGCAGAAGATCAAAAAGTCTCTTTCTTGTCCTAACATCAAATTTCTCAGATTTTGATTCAACAAATTCAGGTGCCAGAGATCGCAATACTGAAGCAAGTGCATAACGGAGGGGCTGAATCTCATGGAAGTTCTCAGGGAGTGCTGTTAGTATTTGTCTAGTTGTCTCTTCAATAAACTTTAAGTAGTGCAGACGAAAAACTGGCTTTCTAGCCAGCATTCCAGGCCAGATATTATCAGCAACAGTACGGTATATATTTGCAATGTTTATACGAAGTTCTTCGCGTCGATTTTTTTGACTCTGCACCATATACAGAAGGTTTAAATGAAAGGACCTGCAAAAACAAGCATGGAAAGAAGAGGAGAACCAGCCAAATAGAGATAAGAGCTTAAATATTGATAAGATACCTTCCATTTAGGTTTGCCTTCTGTTTCTAAAGAGACCTCATCAATGAAAGAGGCAAGCTCACTATACATGACTTCACATATTTCCAGATGTGATCGACCAAGAGCCATAGTTGCTGCATGCTATAAGCAATATAAAAGTTTATGAGTTCCCAAATGTTGCCATAGACAAAACTACTTCTATATTGCTAAAACACTTAGACCTGCATATCAGTTTCACTTTGAATGCAACTTCTATAGTGTAATATGGGCATGATTGCTTTTCAGAACTTACTATGTTTTCACCATATTAGGCTATTTTTCATGAACTGCAGGTTGGTTTTACAATATAAATCTCATAATGGCACATGACAATAATAAATATCACAGCTCTTGCTAGTAACAAATATCACTGACTCTTCAACCCAAGATCATCATCCATTAATTCAGGTCAGTGGCATGAAATTTGTGTCAATTTATTTTGTTAACAATAAAAATTTCTGATATAATGTTAACAATTTATTTTGTTAGCAATTAAGTGAGGTCAGTGGCATGAAATTTATGTCATTTTGCAAAAGAATAATGAAACAAAATTACAAAACAGTCATCATCATAGGTTATTCCACTTGCATGAAAAATATCATGAGATGAATGTGTTTATACGGTCACGTTCCATCACTAGAATGATAATGTAAAATCAGGAAGCAAATATTGGGTCAAGAAGTCTCTATAGTGAGCACTTACTATGTGTGCCTCAGAACCAGACTTCAAGGATGGGAAGATAACATGGAATAATTCTTTCAATGCTGCTGAACCACCACCATCCCGGCTATCAGATGGGCATGAACATGCAAACATAGCATACATTAACCACTGATCTAGCTTGTTGTCTGTATCTTGAGATTGATGAGCCTTCCCGCCCAGTTCAGCAGGTGTGATGTGAGCAAGACGCTGAATAACATCCAATCTGCAAAGAACGCAATGATTTTCTGGTCAGATGTACGGAGCTGCATGATAAATGGAGAAGACACCGAGGTATTTCTTCTTCATGCATAATGATCAAATAGCTTTCTCGGTATGTATACCACATGCGTCTATTGTCAATCGAGCTATCATAAGAGTGATTTTTTTCACAATGTTTTAGCTTTGGGCAAATAATGGACTAAATCAAAATGTCACATTAACATCCATTGCTTCTTTCTTTTTTATGAAATTTTGGGCAGTAAATGCATAAATGGATCAAGCATCTAACGGGAACAGCCTCTCTATTGTTTACAAGGGCAAGGCTGTGCATATCTTACCCCCCCCCCTCCCTCCCCAAGACTGCAAAAGAGTCGAGATTATACTAGGTTTGTTGTTGTTAGTATGTATACTACCAGAAAATGTGGGAAAAGCCCATCAGAACACTTTTCCTACTATAATAGATCTCAGCTATTATGCTCAAGAACTACACAATTGACTATAGCAAAATATTAAAAAATCAAAATGATTCAAAATTTCATGTTAGCTTACTTTGCCTCTTGAACGGAGCTTGGGCAAAGCTCAGAAGCATATTTCACAAGCTCACTAAGGCATCGAGCCCAACGATTCTTATCTGGGCTCTCAAACAGGATAGACTGAAGAGTAACATCAGGAGGTACAGGATCAGACTCTCGTCTCAAATCAAAAGGTCGGCCAGTATCCCAATAGCAACTCTGAACAATATCATCCTGTGAATGAAAAATAGATTTTCAAGGATGTATCGAGTAAACTTCACATCTACAAGTAATAAGATCGACTTCATTTTCAAACTAAAAAGCTTAATAATGTGTGACCCACCCCATGCTCTTCTAGAACATCAATTATGAATATAGGATCCGCCTCATTTCTCAAGATATGATCTGAATCAGAGGTATCATGAACGGAAAATTCTTGTATATCATTCCGTAAAGCACGAACACAGCGCAATAACTCCAGTGCAGTGTGCCTGATCTGGCTGTCCACGGAGCTTAGGAAAATAAGACCAACGGCATCTATCTCTGAAGCTCGTTCAATTGCCTCTTGTGGATAATGGAAAGAGGATTTCTTGAACCCCCCAGTTCTCTGTACAGGCTTTGCCTCTGGAGTATCAGCATTTATCTTACTATCAGATAGACAAACTCTCCAGAAGCGCATCAGATCTAGAAGACGCCCCAGCGATGTTTGAATGAGAAGAGGAAACTCATCAGGAAGACGTAAAATGAAGTTTGCCATCCCTCTCATAATTGCAAAACGGCGATGTGGCAGGTATTTCACCATCCTATTCAGTACCTGTACAGCTTCTTCCCGCACACCAGGATCATTACTTATACCATGTTGAGGTATAATCTCTGTAATTTTATCACTTCGACCAACTTCTTCAATTAGATATGGTATACACTTTAGGACTGAGCGAAAAAGATATCCCTGGGATTTCTCCTTTGTCACAGCATCTAGAGGCACGAAATTGTTTATGTTTCGGAAAGAAACAGCTTGTACTGGTAAGTTGTTAAATGTATAGAAACAATGGTATAATGTAAAAACGATTACCTATCGTGGTCCTTGAAGATGTTAGAAGAGCCTGACCATAGGTCCTATGGCAGGACCTCAAGATAGATTCAATTGCAGCTTTAACTTTTGGAATGTAATGACCACAACCACGAACTGACAATGGGTGAATCAAAATTAGTTCAGTTATTATAGAATGTGGTAATTGCAAAGAAAACAATAACAAACAAACAACTGGTTACCATGAAGGATTTCCAAGCCAACGTGTTCACTGGTGGGGGACATGACTATGGCAAGCAATGCACGAAGACCAATTACTTTTGCTTCACTTGGACTATCTTGTTTCAGAAGTTCAAGTATCATATGGTTCATTGCAAAATCAAGGTTGTGATCAGCAATGGTAACACAAAATTCAACAAGTTTATCATGTTGGATATCCTGTGTAAGCATGCCTTTTCGTAGAACTGTCAGGAGTTGAGAAGTCACACTGTCAAGGTAGTCCCATACGCGGTTTGGAGGTTGGGAATCACCATGAACACTCAAGTAGAACCTCATAACACGATGTGAGCAATCTAAGGCCATGAAGCGCAGGTTCTTGTCCTGCAAAACTGATTGAGTCATATGTTTCCCAAGTATCTATTTTGTTAAACTAAGCCAAATCAATCTAACAGCACAATATGATTAAGATCTTGCGGATAAATACTTAGTCACACAATGCAACCAACCTTTAGGTGCTTGTACAATTGTTCCATGTGAGGACCAAAGCTACCGAGGAAAACATTAGGATCACCAAGGCACAGTAGAAGTGTAACCAGAGGATATCCAACCTAGATTGCAATAGTTACAAATAAGAGAAAATATTGAACATCTAAAAGCAAAGGAGTAAAGAACAAACAGGAAGAAGCGGATATCACTTTTTGATAATCTACTTATCTAAAAAATGCAAATAAATTTATTTATAAAATGAAACTAGACATAAGGAACACTAAATAAATCAGGCTGTTTGACTATGAAAAGAAGAGACAGCTATCAACATGAAAGCCATCGTGAAACCAAAGAAAAAAGATAAATTTATTAAAATAAAGAGATATAAAGGGGAAAATGAGATGATTTCCGTACATGTTATTAGGTGAAAGTTCTAAGGTTGTCCCATGTTTCTTACAATAACAAAATAAAAATGTTCATGAATACAGAATGTGAGAAACCCAGAACTGAGCTTTAAGAGGCTTACCGCTATATGTTTACTTTGTTTGTCCATCCAATGCATAAGCTGAACCCTTATCAGTGCAACGGCATCATACCATAGAGCAAGTGCAGGCTCTACTCCTGAAGGAGGCCATTGACCTTTGCCACCATCTGCCAATGGTGCTAGAATATTTGAAAGCATATTGCACAATGCATGATAAAGTTCACTTTTGCGCCTATGAGCAGGACGATTGAGAGGGTTGGCTTTTGCCACAAAGGAAGCTGAAGCATTCAATCCACCCTCTGTCTTAACCTGGATGAAATGATTATTGATAAATATATGATTTTTTGGTTTAGAGTCAATTATAATGCAACAATAAATTACAACATACCCCAAGCTTCAGGTAGCGCATCCCATGTATGATACTGAGTGTTTCGCTACGAGCAACACTAGTATCTATCCGGCGTGTATTCAGCTCCATGAAGAAGCGCTCAGTCACAGAACTGAATCTGTTGAAAGAAAACAGAATAGCATCTTGTATTCTTGCGGAACAAAAGCATCAACTCTGAAAACATATCATCAATAATCAAAATGCCCTGGAAAACTAAGGGGAAAATGCAAAATGCACCAAAGTTTTTATCACTCACATCTAATGCAAGTATGTAACTTCCTATTTTTCTTGAAATCGGAAAGTTGAATATGCCCTCCATCCCCAAAAAATTGGCCTAGTTACTATTTTGGGCTTCGGATAACTTTTGTTTGCTTTTTCTTGGTCCATTTGATAAAATATACTCGTAATATTCTTGTGACCACTTGTTCTATAGAATTTTTATGTAGTTTTTAAATATATAATTTGTCCTTTTATTTCCTTATCAATTTGCAAATAAAATCAATTTAAAAGAGATGATATTTTGCACGTTGTTTGAAAGAGGACAGTTCTAGGGACGGAGGGAGTATTTTTCAGGTTAAAGGTCAGGTACTATATTTCAGGTATTAAACATAAACTGCTCGTATACAGCTCAACTTAGAAAAGATCTAATCCGGATCAAGTTGAAGACACACATCCAGTTACCTGATCCGTGAAAGAGCACCGAGAAGTTGTGCAACTAGGTCTAGAAGAAGCCCCCTCAAATCAACCAATGATGGATACTCCACCTGACTAACAACCCTGCATTGGAAGATAATGAACTCAATAAAGCGGAAATAATGGTCAATATCTTACTTTCCAGAAATCAGTTTTAAATCAAGTTCAAGTGACCAAATATTTGGTAATTATTATGGAGAAACAAAATCAAGAACAATAAATAAATATGAAGTTTAAAAGGCCTTTGGAAATAAAAAGATTAGTCGTATACAGACATTTGAATGCCATGAGTGCTTGAATCAAAATAGTCATGCTAACAAAATTGGCACATATCCACTTCTCTCAAATGTTCTCTCTGAAACAGAAACTTAGCACTTCCTCGATGAACATCACATCGACAATAACACTCCATCAATGAACATACCTCTCTAAATTTTAATACCATATTCATCATGAAGATAAAAAAGGTGGGCCTGGAAAGACTGGTCAAGTCCCTTCATTTAAGCCTATTAGCCTTGCATGTTAAATCTCTTGTTTAGATGTTAACAAATACAGAGTAATATACTTGAGCTAACTTTTGTTCACTTGTGTAGGAATCTCCAGAACCTACTAAAACATCACAATCACAATCCTAGTCATACATTCGTCAACATGGAACTAATGTAGTATAGCATAGAGTTATTAATGTTAAAGATATCTGATTGATAGATCACTTTACGCCCAAACTTAATTTTACAAAAAGAAAATTTGTTGTGTACTTATTTTTATTAAAATGCCATTTTCCAAGTGATTGTTTTCGAAAATGATCTTTTCATTATTTTGAAAAATTCAAAAAACAAGATGTCTCTCTTCAATACGAGATCATCAGTCTTTGAATGGTTGCATTCCAATACGTATTGCGAAAATTATGGCCAAATTACTAAAGTGCTTTTGAATCCTATTATAAAAGCTGGTAATGACTCACAATCGAGCACCTAGACATGAGAAGATATCACGGTCAACCGTGATTGATTCTGGGTTCAAAATATGATTGCTGCACAAATCACAATCGACCGAACAAGCTAGTAATGATTACGGTCGAGGTACTGGATCTTGACTGTGCGAGCATGCTTAGGATACACTCTTAAGAGACATTATTTGAATTAAGCTCCTTACCCACAAATTTATTAAGTTAGTAAGGATTTTGGGAATCTCATAATGTGCCATAACAAGTTTCTTAATTCTAAAGATTCCCTTAACAAAGTGTATAAATACCCAATTACAGACATCATTTCGATCAACAATCCTCATTACCACAAATTCTTTTTTTTTTGAAACACATTGCCACAAACTCTTAATTATTTTGTTAGGTTTACATCATTAGTTCTTGATCATTCATTTTTATATTTGGCTAATCCTAGAGCCACTGCTGAGCATTACACCTTCATTCATATGAAAAACACATTGAGCTTGTTTCAGAGAGATATACCCTTGCAAATCTATAAGAGCATTGTAACTGATATTGTATAAAAATCCCCGCACGGACATGAACGAGATATTCCTAAATTTTGAATCCTTTGTAATCACTAAAGGATATTTGCTAAGTCATTTGGTTGAAGCGTTCACAGCTAGCCATCAAAGAAATCTCCTTCTCAAGGCGGTTGGAGATATTTGTTAACAAATCTCCAAGAACAGTTATCTTTCATCAAATTTTCAATGAGCAATTAGACATAGACGTTGTGAAATCTCTGGGTTGAAGACATCATTTAAATCTTCGGTGTACGATTTGTTTCCCATTGCCAAGGGTTTGTTTTCCCAACCTAAGTTTTGTGCGGCAGTCGTGTTGAGATGGTCAAGATGTTCTAGTAGATTCACATTCCTTAAAGAAGAGCATTGAGATACTTGAGTAAGCTTATCCGAACCACTATAAGATTATGGTGCACCTTATGTTTTTACTTATTGCATTTACTATTGTGCATTTCACTAAATGCAATCACTTTTCAAGAAAACACTGCAAACATTTAAGTTGAAAAGTTTTTAAAAAGCCTTACTCACATCGAGGGCGTAAACTGACTTTCAATATCTTTAAGGTCTTGAGTTCAAATCTAAAAGCTTTTTCACTCACCTCTAAGCCTTATCTCTTTGCAAAACGAAAGGGGGAGGTAGCCTAGATTATGTCCTTCCCTAGACCCCCCCCCCCAACCACTACTTTGTCTGGGAACTTCGACACTAAGTATGCCTTATAATCATTATTATGTAATTATTTCTCAACATGCAAGCGAATTTAGAAACTATAAAAAATGAGTGAATGGTAAAGCTTAGCTTTTATGACTCATATGACTTGAAGAAAAAAAGATAGGAACCCAAATATGTGTCTGCCTGACATAGTACACAAAAAACTATATAGACTTGCTTAAACCTAAGTACCTAACACAAGATATTAATCTTGAAAACCGTTTTGGTCTCCACTACATTAGAAAACAATGAATAGGGAAACTTGGAAAGCACAAGGAGTCAATGAGTTCTACAAGTTTGTAAGCAAACTTGGATGATATACCTACCTGTCTGCATTAATCAGCCAGTCAAAGACGAAATTTTCAAGCCCAATCCATAGTTTCTCTGCAGTGCAAATAAAGAATAACATTTGATACCTAAAAGATTTCACAACTAACATATCAAATGTATGGATGCAGCAGTGTGAGTCTACATACCTGTTAGCCCTTCTTGTGGACAACACTCAACAAAGCGAATACAAGCAGAGCAAAAAATACACTCCACTGCAAGCTGAAAGAGACAAGGTAGCAATTAGTAACACTAATAATGAAGACAAAGTATTTGAAAATCTATACTGTATATAACTTCAAATTATCAGTCTCCTTGAATAAAGATCAAGTTATATCCAAGCAAACAAAATTTGCTTGACTGAAATTTCAGCTGACTTGTGTTTTATATGAAACTTTAGATAACATATGTTTTGCGATTGAGTGAATTGTTATTACTCTATAAACTGACTTAATTCAGAAGTATCTACATGAGCATTGTAAATCTGATTATCTAAAAGGAAAAAGTGACATTTGTATTCAACATAACCAACAACAACAACATAACCAACCTTTCTCTGAAATGTTGATGCATCATTTGCACCCTTAGGAGATTCACTGTACATGAACAAGAAAGTCAATACAAAGACAACACTAGAAAAATGTATCAACTTGAAATTGTCGCAAGCCAGTCTTGGTTCATAGTACATTCTAAGTACATAATCACCATTGGGTAAAAAAATTTAGAGGTCTCAACTTCAAACTCATACTTTCTGCTATAATGGTTCATTTGGTGGTCATTAACTAACTGCAAACTTCACCCCTATGTGTATAAAGTGTGACTAAAAACATAAACAAAAAACAATAATCGAGTATAAGCCCAACCCCGTTGGGGTATGGGGATCCAGGATGGACGCAGTCTTACCACTCTAAAAACAAAGATGATGTTTCTGTTAGACCCTAGATGCATTGAACAAAGATGATGTTTTTGTTAGAGTATGACTAAAAACATACTCCCTCCGTTCCCCGGAGATCTTCCAATTAGCCCTTTTATTTGTCTCCCAAATATCTTCTCATTAGCCCTTTTAACATTTAAAATACCACAACTACCATCACTTACTTTATTTATTACACCACACCCGCCTCATTTTATATACTCCACCCATTTTCATTTAAGGATATTTTGGTAAACTTTCATCTTTTTTAATTCTTCTTAAAAACTACAAAAAGTCAAAATGAGAACATCTTAGGGGGGCGGAGGGAGCACTACATACATTTGTGGTATTAAAAAAGCTAATTAATAAATAATAATAATAATAATAGTGTCAACTATTGCTATCACATGCTGCACTTGCATGAAATAGTAAGCCAAGAGGACTATATGTTTCAACATTGAAATAAAAATATAGGATATGTTTGTAAATCTTGTTTTTAAAGCTTATAGCTTATTGTATGTAACAATAAAGCACTAGTATTTGGAATATATAAACAGCTCAAGATGTTATCTGTCATCGTGCTTCAAGAAAAAGCTAAGACATTATCTTTTTTCTATAAGCACTTTATTGTAAAAAAATAACACCCTCAAGCTGCTACACTATTAAAATCATTATCTTGTTGCCTGTTTGCATCTTTAATGTGTATGCCATTTATCCAAAGCTAATTTTACCAATTACTTTTGAGTTTTAGCTTTCAACTAGTAGTTGTTAGCTTTCTAGCATTCAACCACTCCATTCATCAGCCCACTAGAAGTAGTTCTACTAAGTATATTGAGATATCTAATGAAACTGTCTAAGTTCAATACATTTAAAAGCATTTATGAAATATATGTCAGAATGCCCCTTAAATATGAATACGAAATTCCAAAAATATGCTTTTAAATTATAGAGTAATGTTGGAATTAGAAACTAACCACACAAATAATTCTCTAGGCAATAGTAAATATCCTCCTCTAAACCTGTGTAACTTCTCTCTTTGACTCTTTTCAGACATATTGAGTAAACTTTAGTGTTAGGTACATCCAACAGTTATTATGGCAAGTTAGCTTGTTTAAATAGATAAAAATGAGAGGAATACCTTTCTCTCCATCTGAGGAGAGCCTCTAGAAGAGGGACGGGAGTGTGTCGTGCAATCATAGCCAAAGAATCCAATACTTGTTCATAGGATGGGTCTGATGGTCGAAGGTACTGCCCATCCTGTGATTCCACAAGTGAAAGAAATATTGTATGAGCGTATCAGGTATGAAATAGCTGCCTCAAATTTGTTGAAATTTAAAAATTATTTTATTCCAAACTTTTTCTTCTGTCTATATTCAGCCAAAAAAACATCTTTTGAAACCATAGCCAGCCATAAAGCAAAGAACACATTTAGAAATCCCCACTTATAGAGAATGAGCTTGTTCTTACTGAACATTGACATAAGAACCAATTCCAGAACAATGTCTATAACAAAGCCCAGTAACAAACTGTATGTCTGCAAAATGAGTTTGAGTTCAAGACAAAGAAAATGAGCAATTGAGAATGATTGCTGGTGTGATTGATTCTTACTTGAGCTTGGGCAGTTTCAATACGACGCCGAGCAAGCGGAAGAAATCTCTGCAGCAAAGCATCAACAATCAGTTTGGCTGCACTCCCAGCCTTCATCTTCTCCAAATGTTGAGCAATCAACTTCAAGTCCAAGCTTGATAATTCATTTCCAACTTAAGTCGTTCACTTTGAGCCTGATCACAAACCCAATCAAACATGAAGGTGACAATTTTATTCTCCTTCATCATCCACTACAGCCTGTTTGGAAAGAAATGGAAATGAATTCAATTTATAACTGAACTTATTTTCTTAAAAAGTTAGCATTTTTTAAACTAAGAAATGAATTCTGCTGAGAATTCAATTCCCTTAAATTGCAAGAATGCACATCAGATAAAAATCTAACAGATTTGCTGCAGGAAATCTGAACCAGATAAAAATTTATCTGAATTGCTACAGGAAATCTGACGGAATTGGCCTAAATATTAAAATCCTAAAAAATCCCTCTCCACAAGTTCGATCCTTCCATCTAGTACTGACAACTCTAGCTCAGCTTCAATTAGCGATTAATTGTATGTTTGGATGAAAGGAAAATGGGAAGGAAATAGAAATTAACTTTTTTGCTTGGATGCAAGAATGAAAGGAAATTGATACGGGTCGAGTGCACCCACCAGACGAGACCCATGCAGAACAGGATGACTCTCTCGCACCTACGGCGGTACGACGTTCCCGAAGACGGCGTCGCTTGTAGGAGTCCCCGTTCGGAGCAGCCGCTGAAGTCGCGTTCGCCGGGAACCGATGCCTGAGTCGTCGCTGTTTCAGATGCTCTTTACCGGGATTTTCTGATGAGCTGTGTATCCTAGGCCTATGCATGTCAAATCAAAAGAACAACTTGTTTGATATACTACTGGACCGGGTTTAGGTGAAGTATTTACCGGGTCAGGTGATCTTACCAGATGTGGTTGGATGCATGACCGGGTCTATGAGTACTTTTTTCCTTCCCACTTTAAAGTTTAAACAAGTCTATTAGAATTGCCAAAGAACTTCTAGTACAAAGGTATTATGGTGACTCTTTGATATTTTAGGTAGGTTGATCTAGATTGAATTTTCGTATGGATGAGCACGATCTACGATGATCAGGTATTTTCGTAAAATGCACACTATGTTGTTATTTTTAATAGTTTGGTACGATTTGATTTTACGACTAAATATCATTTAAAAATAAGATCATATTATATCATATCAATGTCAAACTATGTATTATTATTGCTTTGATGGTAAAAAAGAATTGTTTTTTTGTGATTTTAAGGTCCACGTGTAAAACATAAATCTTCTCATATTTTTCATGAACTGACAATTGAACTTTTTTGTTTTTTTGGAAAAAAAAACAATTTTTTATGATATTAATGCATTAAGGTCATAAACAAGCATGGACCTTAACATTACGTAAGGATTTGCCGGTAAATAAACAGTCCATATTTTACTATTAAAAAAGATCAACAAATTTTTAAAAAAAATGCTCATCAATATTTATATGCATTCTTAGCCAAAAAATGTACTGTTTAGTTGTAGCATTTGACAAACATAATTTTAAATTATTTTCTTCTATAAAAAAGAATACTCTGTATAGAAATTGAGGTGTACTCCATAATAATAATAAAAAGTTTAAGAGACTTAGATTGAATAAGTTAAAAATGTTCCAAATAAACAAAAAAAAATTAAAAATCACGTAAAAGATACGAGTAGCAAACGAGCATGTATAATTAATTGATTGATCTAACATTCTAGTAGTAGCAATTTGGTTTGGAGTTTTTTGGAACGAAGCGGTTTGGTTTATTTGAAGTATTTAAATAGAGTCATTTAAAAACACATTTTTTAGCATTTTTCGGTTCAATATTTGATGGGTTTTAGAACCTAGACCTAGAGTAAACTAGATAATGGAGAGTAGTTTAACGGGCAGAGTGCCCTATTTTGTTGCAAGAGTGTTGTGTTTGAGTATATTGCTTGGTAAGATTGTCATGCCCTTTCCGTGAAGTGAGGCTATGGGGACAACGTGGATAAGAACTAGGTGACAAATAGATAGGACATGTAACTTCAAAATGTTGTGTAAGACAAGGACCCAAGATTCGCCTTTCATTTCTGGCCAAACTTCCAAGAGTCCATGGGGACAACCTTAGCGGATAGTACAAATGTTAGAAGACATGCTTAAATCTTGTGCACTAGAATTTCAGGACACTTGGGACCGGCGCGCGCCTTTCATTGCTGGAGTTTGCATATAATAATAGTTACCAAGCAAGTATTGGCACAATGGCAGCCTAAACAGATTTGCATGAAAAATTTCTGGGCACATTTGCTTATCTAAAAAGGTGACCGATTATGTATCTCTGTAAATGCAGTAGGCTATACAATTTTCGTTGAAGAAAGTAAATACAGAACTTGCCGAATGGTGAGTTTTCAAGTGATGGGAACTTTGATAGATAACCCGGCCATGTTTGCTCACAACTTGCACAAAGATCTGATGAGATAGTAGATTTTCTTTTCAAGTCTCACGGCTGTCAAAAGGCCACGTTTCAAACTGGTGTGGAAGAATTTACCTGTCTGAGGCACAAGCGGGGCTTCTGTGTCAATAGCCGTAGCGGTCATTCAATGAAGTCCTCCCATCACCGCATTGGCCTGGTTAACCAAATCAACCATGTTAAGGACAGGAGGAAATGCAAATATAGCAGAAGGCTAAGTAATACTCTGTAGGTATTAGTGGGAGTTTTCTGTAACTTATTTGACTTGGGTCGATGATAGAAAACAGCAATGATATTACTTTGTCCTTAACAATGTCTTTGCCTATTATTTTATGCTCATAATGAAGGGCGATAAGGTCTTTTTCTTCATAAAATGTTACGGAGTACCTTTTATGGAAACGAGAACTTAATTTTAGAACACCCATAAAAGGATAGTGGGAAGTTAATTATGAAAAAGAGTACATTTTTGGCCTAAAGAATGGAAATGAAATTTTACCCTCATTTCATGCATTATTTTCGTTGGCACGCTTATTATGTAAAAGAAATTGTCTTTGAGATTTATTTAGAAAAGGAAAGAAAATATATCAACTACTCAATTCTTTCTATCCTTAGAAAACCAGAATATAATTTTGGGAGAGATGGATATTGGAGGCAGGCAATTTAATTGAATGAAAAGGTGTAATTTTTTCTCTTGATAAATCGATGAACCGATACATTCGGCCAATTCATCTACTTCAGTCAACTTTAACCTAACCAAGTGGGCTCCACCACCACCCCACTCTTAGACAAAAGAAAAAAATAATAAAATGAAATACCTTTAGGGGGCACCCAGGTCTCATAACTGACTTCACTTGCCAAAAATGGTGGCCGATCAGGACCAAGGGTTGCTTTAGTCTTTTTCTTCTTCTTCTTCACCATGGAGCTCTCGTGAGAGACCATGTCACCAGTGTGCTCGTTTTCATCATCCAAAGCATGGTATCCTCTTGAATGCTTTAACAACAATGCAACAGCTTCCTCTGCCTCCATGTCAACTCCAGAAGATTGTGGTTTATCAGCTTGAACAGCTTCATTGGATGCTGGCTCATCAAGCTTGACTTGTTTGCGTTTCCTTATTATAAGACCTGGAGCTGCATTTTCAATCACCGACGCACCCGAGTTTTGAACTATTCTCTCCCTGTCTTTATAGTCAATAAATTGATCATTTTCTTGTTGCACGTCTGGCTGCAACTCCACAACATCAGGTTCTTTCTTTTTCTCTTCCTCAACAGCTCCAAGCCACTGGGGCTTAACAACAGTGTACTCAATAGATTTATTATCGTCTGTTTCTTTTCCCTCTTTATTAGTATTCTCTTTGCTGGATTCAGAAATACTAACAGTTCCTTTTTTCTTGGAGGGGCCAGGCTTCTCCTCACTTCTTCGCACATTGGATGGGTTAGCTTTGAACAATTCAGTCTTTGGCTCCTGAGATTTCATTTCCCTCTTTCTGACAGCTTCACCAGATGGATCAGCAATCTTGAGCAAGTATAGTATCCTATCAAGCTCTGATTGAAGAGCAGACAGTTCATTGTGCAGCCGGTCCTTCTTTTCGTGATCTGACATTTAAAAAAGAACAGTAAAATATATATCATCATGACCACCACAAGTCCACAACATCACTATTGTGGAGAAAATATTTTGGGTTGGAACTTGGAAGTTGGAACCCAGAAAATTTGGAAGAAATTCTGAGGAAAAAGTTCAAACTCATTTTATTTCTATATTTGTATTGTATAAAGACTAAGAAATCTAATATAAGTTTAATCATGATAATCATAAAGAAATACTCTGAGTTCCAAACAAAGCATAAGGAAATAAAACTATCAAAGCCTTAAGGGAACAAAATTGTTTTCCTAGTTCTCTTTCATATTCCATATTACTTTGAGTTCCAAACATACCCTAACGGAAACAAAATTATCATTGATAATCATAGCTAAATACTCTCCATAGTCATTTCATATCATTTTTTGGAGTTCCAGACATAGCCTAAAGGTCAAAAATCCTCATGAGTTCATGAAAATCATAAAAAAACTCTGCATAATAAAATGAAAACAGCAAATAAAACAGAGTTAACCATGCAATTTATCCAGCTTGAACCAAATATGTTCCCTTCCAGAGAAAAATATAAAAAGAAATTTACATGCATGTTTGAAAGCAATGATAGAAAGTAGAAATAAATACAACAAACCCATGGTAATGGCATACCTAATTGAGATGAGAGCCCTGACATGTATATATCGAGGTCATCACCAGATTCTAGACTATCATTTGCTTTACTGGTATTATCTTCAGAAAATAGCAGCTTTCTTTTGTCCTCCATCTCCCTGACTAAGGAATCCTTCTTATCAAGGAGAGAATCTGCTGTTTCAATTGATTGGTTTTCACCCCCCTTTTTCTTGGCGGGTTTCTGTGTCCGATCGTAAAACTCATCATCGTCACTGTCAAGACTCAAGTCAAAATATGAAGAAGCTTGTTATTTCAGCGATAGATCACTAAGACATGCAAGAGATATAAGTATCTAAATAATAGGCATAAAACCATATCTTTTTTATACAAAAACAAGACTATATGATGTTTGCTCTTTCCAGAAATCAAGCATGCATGGAGTTTCTTGTGTTATCTTTTATAAGTCATACAACAACTAAAAGTTTCAAATATTTAATACCTCACATACTCTTCTTCTTCATTTACTCCTTTTTTCTTTCCGCAAGACACCCTACCAGTTCGTGCACCAAGACTCTCTCGGATACTTTCATTTAAAGTCTCTTCCAAGTTTTCAAGCTCTTCCCATATCTATTGAGAAATAAATATCAATATTAGAAAGAATAAGTCCTGATTGAAAATGACTTGATTTGATCCTCTATTCATGGTAATTAGTTGTAATTTCATATTTGGATCTGGACTTGTTTGTAGTTCCACCGAGTTGGGGGCAGTTGCTTGTTCTTTCCTAGCGAATGCTCTAGGCTATTTTATGCAATCTTCCAAAGAATAAATGTCACATTCACTATTCACTGATCAGAGGATAATATAGAGTATTGAACACTTTTGGACTTTGGCGAGGCTGTTGGATGTAGCAATAAGAAGCATTGGACAAAGATTCCTCCCGTAAACAGCAATGTCATTACCTGTGACATCCTCTGTTCATTCCGAGCTATCTGAGTTTGTTGTCCTTGCGTCAGTCCACCTTGAGCAATGTCCTTTGCCCTAATAGCATCTATCTCCTTTTTCATATGAGCAATCTATGGACAAGGCGAATTTAGCTAGATTTAGAAAAAGATT